GTGGCCAAGTTTCTGCACCGTATAGCAGGACTGGCCGAACTGCTGCAGCATATACTCGACCCTTCACAGACAGCCGATGTCGCGACGGCGCCACAAATGTCTCAAGTTGGCAAATGTTAATTGAGCCTTTTGTATGCGCGCCAACACTTCAAGTGTGATGCGTCCACCGCTACCCAGATAGCAAAATTTGTCTACTTCCTCTACTATTTCCCCAGTTAAGGTGAGACTGGGTGCTGGACCAACCCAATCTAGTACACTTCGAAGGTGCAAAACGCATACCGAACATGGTAACACTAGCACTCAAACTATCCAGAAATGCTTGCAACTTACCTGGATCGTCACTTAGTAGCACAATGTCGTCCGTATACCCTAGATCAGACAGTCTGTCACCTGGGAGTAAATCGATATCGCTATCCTTGCACGAGGATAGGGCTGTTTCAAGAATTACATCTATGACAAAGTTAAATAGAAAAGGAGAGAGAGGGCAATCCTGTCGAACAGCATTTTCGGTGGCGAACACGGGAGAAAAAGTGCCGTAAGCTCGTACTCGGCTTCGGCTATTATTGTAGAAGGATTGTAATATTGAAATAAACTTCTCGGGCACTCCCTTCAGGGAAAGGCAGCGCCAGAGTTGAAAGCGGTTGAATGAGTCAAAAGCCGCTTTTAGATCGAAGAAGATAGAAATGGGGGGTCTACGAAAGAAGCATCTATGTTCTAGAATTTCATGAAGTGTGAAGATGTGGTCAATACAGCCTCGGCCGGGTCTGAAACTGGCCTGGTTCTCACGCGTACACCGTTCACGTGCGGTAGACAATCGACGGAGTATGATACCGGCGAGAAGTTTAGAGGCAACATTGATTAAACTAATTCCTCTGTGGTTTTCATAGGAGGATCTGTCACCTTTCTTGTAAATCGGTATAATCACCGATTCAAACCATTCCGTTGGAATCTCTTCCCTCTCCCACAATGAGCCCAGGAGTTTTGTTAACTCCAAAACCAAGGCTGGGCCAACATTCTTAAAAACGGATGGGGCAGCTCGTCGAGGCCGGAAGCCTTATGCTTTCTGAGGTAACTTATTTCCCGGGTATTTGCACAGTTGGACCGAGTGGGGGGGAGTCTTGTGTCGAGAGGGTCAGCTGAA